TTTCATATATATTATCTTACGTTGGCATTTTAAGAGAAATGCTGTAAAATAGGTAGTATTATTCTTTATATTTTGATCCGTGAAAACCAAGGGCCAGCAAAGTCTAAAGAACTGTCCTGTATTTGTGGGATAAAAGGAAGAGAGCCAGATGTTCACATTCTGAACTCCTTGACAGTTATTCTGATGCCAAATCCTGATTCTAGTACAACAGTCAAGGAGGGAAAGATTTACAACATGCTTGCTCAACAAAACTGATCAAACAGTGCATGTTGAGACCAGAGCTTCTCAACTCAGGCTCTGGTGGCATTTGGGGACCGATAATTCTTTGTTGTGGGGACTGTCCTGTGCACTGCATAAGGTTGGCTGCTTCCCTGGCCTCTGTTCACTGGATGCCAGCAGCGCCTTCCAGGGGGTGACAACCAAAACTGTCTTCAGGCATTGCCAAATGTCCTCAGAGGGACACTGTTGCAGACATTATTACTTCTTTAGACGTTACCTTTAAAAAGTCACCATTTTAGACATTATTTCAAGAGAATGATTACAGCAGGCAACGTAGTTTTATAGCTACATTTATGGATTCAAGAGGCGACAGCTAGCATTTTACTGCAGCTCCAGCTCTTCAGCTCAGTAACACCTTACGTTGCCTCTTCTGTAAAATGAAAATAGGTCACACAGTGTTCCTCAAGGTTTAGATAATTAAAGAGTGTGACCAGAGAACCTTGGCCACTGACTTTTAGTATGTGCTAACGTTGTTACTAGAGATGATTATTCTGACTGTTGTGTAATTCTGAACAAATCTTATTCCCCTTCTTTTTCACAATACTATCCACAGACCAGGTCCAGATTTTTTTGTATTTGAATGAAAGGTCTTTCATGATCTCATCTCAAACTTGTATTCCAACCCCTGTTCCAACTCCCACTGTTGCCAAGCAGCCCCCCACCGGGGGCCCCCATCCCATTCACAGCCGTGCCTCACAGTGGCTCACCTTTCCCAAATAACCCCTCCTGTGACACCACACCTTTGCAGGTGCTGTTCCCTCCTCTGGTATTTGTTTGTTCCAGAATTCTTTTGTCTTGCAAGATTTTCTTTGTCCTTAAGGATTAAGACCTTATGTGAAGAAACCATACTAGACACTGAATTCTGGCCAAAATGGTTTGAACAGACTATTTTCTCCAGGCCTGCCACTATTTCTCTTGGGTATATCTCCATGATCAGCAAAACGAAAACCAAACTGAATCTCATCTAAGTGAAACAAAACTGTTATAGAAGAAGAGCCTTGGAGATAAATCATTCCCCCAGACTCTCTGCTGGAGGGTGCTCTTTTAGCATCTATTTTGTGAAATTGAAGAGAACACTTGAAAAGATTAGTCTTTTCTTAGAGGGCAACTGCTGCAGTGACTGAGTCCCAAGGGACCGCCAATTAGAATAAACCAGAAGTCAACTGCCTGGAGACAATCAACTCCAGCACAATTTCTGGGAAGCTGGTTTAAGGCCTGGGGATTTGAACACTAAATTACATTCACCCTCCAATCTTGTCTGGCTTTGTGATCTGGGCTTTTTCTCCTTCATCTGCTTCCTCTGTGCCCCCAAGTTGCCCCATAAATGTTGTACCCTAACATCATCCTCATAGGTGGTTGTCTAAGCAGAGTGGGAAGCCACCGAAGCATCTAAGCCATGGAGTTGGGAAACGTAATAGATACACAGAGAAGGCTGCTCAGGTTAGCAGCATGGAGAATGTCTCCTCTTGTGTGTCTGTGTGTGTTGGGTGTTGAGTGTATATGGGGTGTGTATGAGCGTTTTGGGTATGTGTGTATCTGTGTGTTGGGTGTGTGTATTTTGTGTGTGTGCATGTTGAGTGTGTGTGTTGGATAAGTGTGTGTTGGTTGTGTGTGTTGGAAGTATGTGTGTTGGGTGTGTGTGTGTGTGTTGGGTATGTGCATGTTGGAGGTATGTGTTGGGTATGTGTGTTAGGGATGTGTGTTGGGGATGTGTGTGTTAGGAGTGTGTGTGAATTTGGTGTGTGTATGTGTACTGGGTGTGTGTTGTATGTGTGTGTGTGTGTTGGGGGTGTGTGCTGTGGTGTGTGTGTGTGTGTGTGTGTGTTGGGTGGTTACTCTAGAAATGACTCTTGCTCTTCTGAGAGTCACCAGTAGAACTGTGGGAACACTGTCCCAGTCCAAACCCTTTCTTCACTCCTTCGCACCTTCATTCTTTCAAAACACATTTATGTGGACTCCGTTTGGTGTCAGGGAGACCTGTAGGAGCCAGCTGACAAAGATGACCAAGACAGTCGCGGCCCTGGCCTCAGAGCCTAGCAGAGTGAAGCAAGAGATGGTCACCTCATGTCCACAGCATGACTGTGTCATCCTCCACTGGGCACCCCGTGGATACGAGTTGGGGAGGGATTCCCCGAGGAAGTCATAAAGAGCCTAAGGTCCCGAGTTTGAGTGAGAAGCCACTGGGCCAAGCAGGCCAGGTGACAGGAGAACAAGAACAGGGGCAGGCCAGGGCCAGGCAGGAGCCTGTGAGGCAGGAGTGGGCAAGCCCAGCAAGGCCTCCAAGGTCATGGGAGTATCTTAAACTCTCAAGGACAGTGCGAGCCACTGAGGGGTGTGGAGCTAAAGTGGCACGATCACGTGAGCATGTCTGTGTGTTTAAATGCCTCAAGTGGGAATAGTGGTGATTAAGAGGTGGGAGGAAATTTGCAGGTCAGCAGAGTGAAGGTGAGGTACAAGGTCTGAGAGAGCAGAAGTGGGAATGGAAGGGATGCTTGGGATTCCAGAGGTTTAGGGGTTGGGGACAGGGCAAAGCTGGCAACAGCCTTTCCTTTGACCTAGTGTGAGGGACGTAGATCCCTTCTGCACTCATGACTCTTTGGAATGTTCATCCTTCCTGTCTGTTTGGGCAGTGTGTGTGCAAGTGCATGTGCACAGGTGCATGCATGTGTGCCAAGAGCCCCTAAGTCTGTTCCTAGAGTTCTTGCTCAAAAGATGCATCTGGCATATGCCTTGTAAGCCATCACCTAATAGAGCAATTACTGACTACTTAATAAAATAGATGGAAAGGAATTCTTTACTAATTGCTTTCTGAAAGCATAGGCTTACCTGAATTCATCTTAGCCATCCGGTGTCTCTACACTTCTAATTTTAATTTACAGGTATTTAGTAGATTTTGGTTCAATTTGCCTAAAGAATATAATTCTAAAAGGCTACTCTTATTAAAAGGACTGTGCTATCTTAGCGTTGCAGGCATGGTTTAGAATAATGAAACAAAAGGAAATTAACTTTAAAAGAAAAACAGGCTTTACATTTTTAATTCTATGATTGTTTGCTACTGTGATCACTTAGCCAAGAAGGATTGAATAGTTCGTTCGTTATCAGCAATCACTTAAGTAGGTTTCTTTGCAAATATATTATTACACTGTATGTCTTTCTGAGTATGCATGTATATTTATATATAGAGAGAGAGCTGTCTGATTGTATGTAAATTTATAAAATGCGTAATGCACATTAAATAGAATGCCTTATCCTTCCAATAAAAACTAAGCCACTTCAAGAGGTATTCTATTTCATATTGTATTCACTTGCTATAAAGGAAACACCAACATGTTTCAAGGTTTGCTTGACAATCTCTGCCAGTTGTGATAAAGGAAAGATAAAGAGAAGAGGTTAGAATCTCTGAGGACACTTTTAACCTTTGTCTGTTCCTTCTCTGTCCCATTTTTCATGTCTCTTCTTCCCAGATGACAGCATCGACCTGGCATCAACAGGATCTATGCTTTTGAGTTGTTTCGTGAGGAATAGAGGTGGCTGCAACACTGGCTCATTCCTCTTCCTGCCTATCCTTTGGATAAATAGTGCCCTTGGGTGGCTTGTGGGGTCAAGTTTTTACCTGTGGTCTTGCAGTTCCTATTTTATTTCTCTGTTAAAAATTGGTTCCCGGCTGCAGGGATAGAATTCATACAGTTGGTCCTGTTAGCAGCATGTCTAACCGGCTGAGCAGAGATTTAATAAAATAACATTTCTTTGTATGACAGTACAATCAAGATACTGTTTTAAAATGGACTTAAATATTTTAGAGCATATTGCTTAAGATGACAACCAGCTTCTTAGAGTAGCTCAGATGTAAAAAGGAGGAGACAGAGAAAAAAAAATATGTGCAGTGCATGAAATGTATTAACATTTTGCAAATAAGCCTAACTTTTTAAATAAATAATTTCCTTTTATAAAGTCATCATGTTATGATACTTTTATTCCCAGAGAATCATGTAGGGCATCTGTCTATTTTTAAAGAAGAGATTATGAAAATAACAACAGTACTAAAAACAGTAATATCAACATTGGATGCTATCACAAGGTTTTGGATTGGACTCATCCAATTCTGTTTTCTCTTGTCTGATAATTTCTCTAAATGCTATACCTGAATCAGACTGTTGAAACAATATGCTAAAATAGATATGACCTCTACATATGATCCATTTAAGATGGTCGTGGTGACACACGCCTGTAATCCCAGCTATTTGGGAGGCTGAAGTGGGAGGATCACTTGAGCCCAGGAGTTTCAGGCTGCAGTGAGCTATAATTACACCACTGCACTCCAGCCTGGGTGACACAGTAAGACCCTGTCTCTAAAAAAAGTTATAAATAAATAAAGGAATAATTCACTTAAGCCCAAATGGAAATGTATATATTAAAATCGTATGCTTTATTAGGTTATTTTTTCATAATCTTTATTAACATGTAACTTCAGTTGATAGATTGATCTGTATATGTAATCTATATAATCAATATGTGTAGTATACACGTGTATGCACTTGAAAACTATTCACTCAAGGAAATCTCTTCCAAATCCTCTTACGTGGATCTGCGTGTAAGAAAACCAGAACAGTCATTTGTGAAATGTTTTCTTATAAACTCTTAAGAAATTTCATACATGAGCTAACCATGTTAACGGTGTGGTAGGATTTCTCTCTCATGTTCTCCCACCTTCTTTTGTTCAGAGAATTTGGATGGAGAGACCCGGAACTGCCGGAAGTGATTCAGATGTTGCAACACCAGTTTCCCTCCGTCCAGTCTAACGCGGCAGCCTACTTGCAACACCTCTGCTTTGGAGACAACAAAATTAAAGCCGAGGCAAGTGCTCCTTGGATTCTGAAATCAATGGTGCCAGATCATAAGCACTTAGATCTTTTTAATGTTGACAGGGAAAAGAACTAGGAGAACTGAAGTTACACTTTTAAAATTTAGATCTATATGTATGACTAAGACATAACGTTTCATCTAATTAATTAGCATGCCTGTTTATGCATTCTTCCTTTTTTAGTATTTGAATACCAAGAACAGAGGGCCAGTGGTGTATGCTAGTTATCAATAGAGGCTGGATTGTCAGATGCCATCCTTGGAATATGATTTGTCTTTTTGTCTTTCTCTTCCAGATTCTGTCTTTGGGAGTTTCTTCTGCCCCTAAATCCTAAAGATATACTAGGAATCATTTGTTCTCTTCTCAAATCACAGTACAATTATTGCAGTCAGTATAAGCTATGACCTATCCTTCCTGCAGAACTCATTGATAGGATAAGGACTGTAGGCACTAAATTGGCTTTGTGTTACAACCAAGTGTTTGGCACTATTTACAAAGGAGTAGTGGATTAAATGTGGATATGTGTTCCATTAAGGAGACTATGGTCCATGTCCAACACGTAAACAGCTGTTAACATGCTCTGTGTTTTTGGAATACACAAAATTCATATGTTTTGCTGTGTGGTATTTTTGAAAAATCACAGTGGTCGCTGTAGCAAAATCTGACTTTTTTAGACAAGGGCCAAGCATTTGCATGTAAGAAACTGAGTTATCAATTTTTTAAAAAAGATTTATGAACTATAATGAGTCATCTTCATGGCATGTAAGCAATTTTGGGGATGAGGCTAAATTAGTGTAAGAGTGGAAAGAGAGATTTGAAGATGTAATTGCAATTTATTATAGATTTTGCTTGCTTGCATTGGGATATACATAGCTTCATGGCTTTTTGTTTTTTTCCACCTCTCTTCCCCTGGGCCTGCAAAGAACATGGTCCATGCTCAGTCTTATCAAGAAAGTTCTGATTCTTTGTGGAATGAATACAGAACAGTGGTTCTCAACCAGGTGTGATTTTGTCCCAAGGTACATTTGACATCTAGAGACATCTTTGGTTGTCACAGCTGGAGGTGGCTGTGGGTATCACTAGTAGAAATTGGGGATGCTGCAAAACATCCCAGAAAGTGCAGGGCAGCCCCTCAAAGAGAATCACCCAGCCCCAAATGTCAGCAGTGCCAAAGTTTAGTTATAGAGAAATATTGTCCATCTATAAAAAATTTTAAATGTGAAAAAATGCCAACTGTTAAAAAGACCCAAAAACTCATTAAAGTTATGTGACTCCTGTCCCAGACAGTTGTTAACCGAGTCATTCTCTATTTGTAATAGGGAAAAAAATGGCCATGAAACATGGAGGACAGATTCCTGACCAGGGGGTCACATACCATCATCATATGTTATCTTTTTTTGAAGACCATAACTTTTTCTTTTTTGGAGACTATAACTTTGAGGGTTTCTCCAAAGGTCATGAAAGTTTTTCATTTCATTGTTAGAATGAATGATTCAAGAATGTTGTGCCCCACCGAAGTGGGATGGACTCCCGCCCAAAATTTGGTTGTTCTGATGCCAAGGTTGCTGGCATCATTTACACACCAGGAAAGCCTGAAAAGGTGTCACTCACATAGTGAGGCCTTCTGGGTCAAGCACGGTGGCTCCCAGACAGGTCCCAAATTTGCTTCTGAAAGCTTTTGGAAAGGAAACTGGCATGGAGCTATTATGGTTGTAGGAGTGGGTTCTCACATGAAGATTGGGCCTTGTATGGTTGGAAACTCCTGTGGGTACCAAACAATAAGCTCTGAGTTTTATCAGGTTGCCCAGCTGTGGGGCAGAGGGGGCAAGGGTAAGGCTTCAAAGCTATCAGAAGTCAAACATCAAGAGATGGAGTCAGACCCTATTACAGGAGTCACCCGGCCAGGTAGTGCAGGCTTCGTTGCCCAGGGAAGTCTTAGCTCATGGTCTGCCTCTGTCAATGTGATCCATGGGCCGGCCTTGGGGCCTATCAGTGGCGATAGGCACTGATACACCTGACAGAAGCTGTAGTGATAGCAGCTGTAGACGTGTTAGTGGCTACATCAGAATGACCCCTAGTGCGTTGTGGTGAACACAGGCCTTGCAATGAAGGGGCAACCAGCACATGGGTCATGGCGGATGGATGAGCTTCCCAGGCTGGCTTCTCTGCTTACCACCTCAGTCACCTTGAACTACCTGATTATCCTCTGGGGCCTCTTTTCTAATGTTTAAAATGAAGATGCCGATACCTTCTCTATAGAGTCTTTGTGAGAATTAAATGACTTAAAGAATGAAAACTGCTTAGTGGTGAAATGTGCATTCGTCCACCTTCTTTTTGGCCAGGAACAGTTAAGACACTAAAGTTACTGTTTTATTTTATGTTTATTTCTGTGTGTCACTGTGTATACATGTGTCTCTTTGTGTCTGTGTCTGTGTGTGTGCCTGTTTCTCTGTGTGTGTATGTGTGTGTCTGTGTGTGTGTGTACATATGCGTGCTTCTGTTTATTTTTGGTATTTTGCTATGGGCGCCCTCAAGTTTGCCTGTATCACATCTCACTGTTTGGGGTGGCCCCCACAAACTGGCACTCCTAGCAGCTGTTCACATTATCAATGGCAGCCTGCGTGCTACCTTCTAAAGGCTGCAAACACTGTTAGGGCCCATGACAATGTTCCCAGGAGGCCTGGGAGGCTGGGATGAGAAGGAAGGGAAGGGTGGTGTGTGACGGAGTGCACAGCCTGATCCTGAGTTGGCAAAATGAGATTGAAGTTAGCAAGTGTTAGCCAAAGGAACAAGGGAAGTGCAAAAGGCTTAAATAAAACACAGAGTGAGCTCCCAGAGTTTCCCTTTCTTTCTCCCATTCAGTGTACATATATACACACACACACACACACAAACTCTAACAAGGATTGTACACAGATATATTTTGTTCTCTCATCCTAACTCCAAGACCAAGCTATTAGTAATTGCTTCTCCCTTTGTGACAGATGGCTGCCTGTCGTGTTTTCATACACAGACATTGATTTTGGTAATTACCTGTTGTCCAAATACTAATCATGCAGGCTCTAGCCTTTCCAAATTTACTCAGTCCTCTAGTCTTTCTATTGCATTTTATTGAACTGATTTAGCCCTTCAGTCTACATTTCATTATTGGTATTGACTTTACTCACACAACGGGTAGGCCATTGAACGAAAGGCAGGTCTACATTTTCTATATGCAGAGGGTCATAAATCATGCCTTTCTTTCCTTTCTTGTTCCTTATTCCTGTGCTTGTACAGTTTTCATGTAATAAAGCCAAGAAGATCAGTTGTTTTTTTTTCAAAATGATACCAGATCGTCCATGTGTAATGTTGAGAATTTGCTTCCATAAGTCAGCAGATAAAATCCTCATCCCTAACTTTTCCTACTGCTCTGGTGAACTTGGATTTAAGAACATCTTCTCAGTTCCCCTCTGTATTAGTCCATTCTCATTCTGCTATGAAGAAATACCCAAGACTGAGTCTTTTATAAAGAAGAGAGGTTTAATGGACTCACGGTACTGCATGGCTAGGGAAGCCTCAGAAATTTATAATCATAGCAGAAGGTGCCTCTTCACAGGGCGGCAGAAAAGAGAATGAGTACAAGCATGGGAAAATGGCAGACACTTAAAAAACCATCAGATGTCATGAGAACTCACTCACTCTCTTGAGAACAGCATGGGGGAAACCACCTCGATGTTCCAATTACCTCCATCTGGTCCCACCCTTGGCATCTGGGGATTATTACAATTCAAGATGAGATTTGGGTGAGAACAAAGAACCAAACCATATCACTCCACCCTGGCCCCTCCCAACTCTCATGTCCTCATGTCTTAAAACACAATCATGCTTTCCCAACGGTTCCCCAAAGTCTTAACTCATTTCAGCATGAACCCAAAAGTCCAAGTCCAAAGTCTCATCTGAGACAAGGCAAGTCTCTTCTACCTATGTACCTGTAAAATCAAACACAAGTTAGTTCCTTTCAAGATACAATGGGCGTACGGGCATTGGGTAAATAAAACCATTCCAAGTGGGAGGAGTTGGCCAAAACACGGGGGCTAGAGGCCCCATGCAAGCTTGAAATCCAGTAGGGCAGTGATTAAACCTTAAAGTTCCAATATGATCTCCTTTGACTCTGTGTCTCACTTGCAGGTCATGCTAATGCAAGAGATGGGCTCCCATGGCCTCAGGAAGCTCTGCCCCATGGCTCTACAGAGTGCAGCCCCCCTCCCAGCTGCTTTCACAGTCTGACATTGAGTGTCTGCATCTTTTCCAGGCACATGGTTCAAGCTCTCAGTGCAACTACCATTCTGGGTTCTGAAGGATGGTAACTCTCTTCTCACAGCCCCACTAGACAGTGCCCCAGTAGGGACTCTGTGTGGGGGCTCCAGCCCCACATTTCCCTTCCTTGCTGCCCTAGCAGAGGTTCTCCATAAAGGCTCCACCTCTGCAACAAACTTCTGCCTGGACATTCAGGCATTTCCACACATCCTATGAAATCTAACCTCAGTTCTTGACTTTTTGGCACCCACGTGCTCAAAACAACATGGAAGCCACGAAGGCTTGGGGCTCACACCTCTGAAGCAATGGCCTGAGCTATATCTTGGCCCCTTTAGCCATGGTTGGAGCTGAAGCAGCTGGATGCATGACACCATGTCCTGATGTTGCACAGAGCAGGGAAACCCTGGGCCGAGCACACAGAATGATTTTTCCCTTCTAGGCCTCCAGGGAGGGAATGCTGTGAAGGTCTGTGACATTCCCTGGAGACTTTTTCCACATTGTCTTGGTGATTAACATTTGGCTTCTTGTTACTTATGCAAGTTTCTGCAGTGACCTTGAATTTCTCCCCAGAAAATGTGTTTTCCTTTTCTATCACATTATCAGGCCAAACATTTTTCAAACTTTTATTCTTTGCTTCCTCTTGAATGACGGCTTAGTATATTCTTATGTCACATACCCTAAATTATCTTTCTCGATT